CCGAGCGGGTGCGATATTCATGTTCAAGAGGCCAAACCACCTTAAGGGATGAATTTCGAGCCAATTCTGCCCATGAAGTCGGTCAGAAACTGGCCGAATTTATGATGATGGGGGCAATAAAAGGTGAATAGTGCCAACTTGAAAGTTTTTGGGCATATTTGTAACAACATCTGTATTTGTAACCATTCCACTGAATCTATGATGATTGGGGCAGTGAAGGGTAAACAGTAAAGGTGATGTCAAAATTCTTGAATTCTAGTAAAACCATGTGTTGCATGTTAAAAACTCTGCAATCAAAGCTCTTTGTTGCAACTATTATTTTCCGTTTTGAATGGTAAGCTGAACCCTGTTTACCCAGTTCACCCGTTAAACAATTACCACATTAGCATTCCATGGAATAACTACTTGAATAACAATACATTTCGTATTCTATATGTTCCATCATCGGCTATATAAACAACAGTATTTCACGGCCAATTAGGAGCATGAAAACCTCACTTAAACGAGACATTTTCATAGATTGGCTATTTTTCTCATGATAACCTGTACTGCTCTGAATCCCTTTGTTCAAGTGCGCATTTCCATGGCAAAAGATCTGATCAACCTTTGGCTGAACATTGGTAAACCCGTAAGCAAAGAAGCGCGTAATGCGTTTTCTCACCGGGAAATATGACACTATCCAAGCACATGCGAAACAGAGGCCATTGAGGTACCATCATGTCCAATAATGAGAAAAACACCGACGACCGCTATGCCATCTGGTTTCCTAACGGCTTCCTGCAGGGTGAGACCTTGACGTACATGAACCAGATGTAACTGAAAGCAAGGGTCAATTTAAAAACAGAAAAAAATAGTGCCAGAACCGTTAGATGTTCAGAAACAAAGTAGTTGCAATGACATTATTGAACATGCAAGAAGCAATAGCAAACACACTTGATATCTCGTAGTTGGAGGAAGCGCGGCTACTACGTACCCCTCCTAAAGTTGGTGCCGCATGCGGCCTCGTCAAAGGCAAAGTCCGCAGTTATTCATCACCACAGGTAATAGATTCAGGATTTGCTTACAGGCGCAAGGTGATGAGTATTTCAATAGTGAAGTAAAAAGTAGGAAAAAATTATGCTAAAGGCCCTACATAGAACCCTATTCTAATACCGGTTTCTACGCGCCCAACTTAATCCATCTCCAATACTACGCTCTCATCTGCGCAGCTGATTCCCCGGTATGGACTCTAACCGCACATGTAATGATTTTCATGCTTTTTCGTCCTGCAGCTCCGTTTTTCACTGAAAGGCGGGCCTTGAAGGCGGAGTCTGGAGGCGGAGTCACTGGAAAAAGGAGGCGTCACTGAACCTATATTGCGCTATAGCGCCCCTCCCTTACAATTTTTTGCCGCAAACCGATACAAGGACGTTCTCGCGGACCATACGCGGACCACACCAACCTCCCGACGCCACTTTTTCAGGCTGGGCATGGCCAATACAACTGCAGTTCTTCGCGTCGTCGCGCGCGGTGTATCCTGCGACGAAGTTTGGCAACCCCCGATGTGCATGAGCTTGACGGTTGGAGATCGACTCCTATCAGTCCAAGGCTCCATGACAGGCAAGGAATTTTCCGCCCTTTTAGCTCTTAAATTGAAAGGCCAGGACATGAGGGACAACTTTTCTGTCGTGCGCGGCATCGCTCGCAACTCCCATCAGTGCGGCATATTGCGATTGTCTTCTCATACACCCAAAATCTCCTATTCTATAAAATCATTGGACACTGAAAACTGGTTTCATCAGTAGGTACAGGACAGGTTCAAAAGCAAGTTATAGGGAAGTTTACGTGACCATTCCTGCTCCGTTTCTGTTCTAAAATTTCATGTTGGCCCACCTCAGAAGGATAGTGAAGGCCTCCAACTTTGTGCTCCGATCCGAGATGATCATGTTGAGCCCAATGTAAATGAAATTGTAAGGAGATGATACCGATGTTTCAGACCGCCACCTTGTATGAAAGGCTGTCTTGAACCCCAGTTCTCGAAGCCGTTAACAGCAACTGAAAAACGGTGTTCAATGTGAGAAAAATGCAAAAAAAAACGTCAATATTTGATATGTAAGATGTTCAGGTGCGAGAAATAGAATCTACAGTGAAAGGTATTCCAAATACGTCTACTTACTTGTATGACCGTTATTAGTTACGTTCACAGGACCCGCATGATCATAATGTACAAAATGCATTCGATGCAGAAGTGCGTAGTCAACATCGGATGCACGAATATCGATCGGACTCTGTAACAAGATGTAGTTTATAACTGCTGATATTACTTGACCACATTATTGTTCAGTATCTCTACTTGCCCCCTCCTGGATTGATTACTTTTCGAGCTCGAATTCATTTTTTTAAAGAGAGATACATGGATTTACCAATGGACCAGCACAAGGAATAGTAATGATACGCCTCATTTTTTTCTCACCTGACTTCATAAAGCAACCATATCCGAGTTCAATATATCCCTTCTGCTCCTGTGCGAGCTGTATTGGCCCGCTCTGCGTTGAGCACAGATATGGCTCCGCTTTTCCCAAAGCGGTAATGTCTCACCAAAAGCCGCGTTCAGACTACGCGTCCACGCCCTCCGCATCTTCTCGTTATGTAGCGTAGTTTCCAAGGTTCCGTTGCATTTTTTTTTGGGAGACGTCTCGCATTTTTTTTTTGAATTTTTTTTTTCAACGAGCCGTTGCATAAAGCAGACCTTTGTTGAATATATCGTTTCCAGAACGTATTTTCGGGCTGGATGAAGCACGCAGTGGTAAGGACCAAATTCTTCAACCACCACTGCTCATACTATAAACTGTCCTTTTACTGGAATGTTGAAACATATTACGACAACAAAAAAAGTTCTTTTTCAGTGTGTTAATTTTTAAGCTTTCCGAAGCGAAATATTGGAAGTGTCATATTGCTGTCGAACATCGATATCAACTAGATGAGCTTCCCGTACGGACCCACTATGGTATTTTCCTAACCATGCTTTCAGTGAAATGATAGATTTGTTGAACCATACCTAGGAGGGCCTACAGTTTATTTCTCCATACCTCATTACACGTGTGTCTTGCACACCTGTATTTTGTTCCAAGAAAATTTTGTAAAAAAAAAGCGTCTGAGCTTCAAAGTACAGAGTTGTTATTAGGTTGTCCGGAAAGTTCTTAGCGTTTTGTGCACCTAATTTTGTACATTCACTGCTGATTAAAAACTCATTCTGCCTTGCTTCTCAGTAGCACATCCTGTAGAGAATTTCTTGCGCTATCTGATGGTATAATTGCCGTTTCACCATTGCTTGATAAACCCCTTTTTTCAAGATTTTTTCAAGCATGTGAAAAGAGCACTTCGGACGATTTTTTTCTTCGGCTATAAATTGGGGCAATCCGCAATCGAAACAGCTCAACAAATTAACCAGGTGTGGAGGCCCAATAGTGCTAGAGAAAGCACTGTGCGGCAATGGCTCAACAAATTTCGTTCTGGAGATTTCAGCCTTGAAGGTGAGCCTCATAGCGGTCGACCTAAAGCAATATCTGACGAGGATTTTAGGGGGATTTTGAAGGTTGACCCATCCCAAACAGTTCGAGAGATAGCAGAAGAGCTAGGCCTTGGCAATCCACTGTTGCAGATGGTCTGGAACGCATTGGGAAGGTGAAAAACTCGACAATTGGGTGCCCCACAATCGGAGTGACCGGCAGGAATCGGCACGTCTCGAGGTTCCTTCTTCACTGCTTTTGCGCAAAAGAATTGACCCGTTTTTGAACGGATTTGTCACCTGTGATGAAAAATGGATCATGTATGATAACAGGAGACGTTCCGGACAGTGGTTGGATTTGGAGGAACCGAGGTAATTTTCAAAGCCGAACCCTCGCGAAAAAAAAATTCTGGTCAGGTTTGGTGGTCATCGGCTGTTGTAATCCACTATAACTTTTCATCACCAGGCCAAACCATCACAGCAGAACCCTACTGTGAACAAACCGACCAAATGTACCGAAAATATTGTCAGCTGCAGCCAACACTTATCAAAAGAAAGGGTCCGATTCTTTTGCATGACAACGCCCACACGTTTCACAAATCACTATCCATAAATTGAACGAATTGGGAGTTGAAGTTCTACCTCACCCACCATATTCTCTAGACCTTTCCAACCGACTGTCCTTTTCAGACATTTTCAGAACTTCCTTGCTGAAAAATACTTCATCAATTAAGACCAGGCAAAAAAGACCTTCGCAGATTTCGTGGATTCTCGACCACCCAGTTTTTTCTTGATGGGATTTCTCGACTGCTGCCACATTGGCAAAAGTGTGCTGATTCGAATGGTGCTTATTTGGATTAAATCCGATGAGTGTTAAGAAAGTTATGATCGTTTAAAGTTAAACACCCAAAACGCTAAGAACTTTCCGGACAACCTAATAATTATTCTTGATCGAAATGGGTTTTACGCCGAAAATCTCAGCCAAACATAAGAAAGCATTAGCGCTCTTTGCAAACTCAATCTGAATAATTTTGCATTGATTCTGGAGCCCGTACGAGCGGCAGATTGTCGATCAAATTTTCATTTGTGAGGCTCATTCATCGGATCAAGAAGAACAACCTACTGAGCACGCTCTATGGAAGGATGAAAATTGGCGTTATTTCCTCACAAGGTGAGATCCGCCCCCGTGGAATTGCATGAGCTAAGGTTCTTATATTAGGTTGTCCCAAAAGTTCTGGGACACTTTCAAACTTTTTTTCGAATTAAGTTTATTCCAGTGGGAAGCAATTTTGATCAGCTATATGTATGTCACCTTCATTGGCAACTTGTTGCCAATCAATGTGTGGTTGCCCTGCTTCCAGAAGCCTCTTAGTTCTGTGCCCAGAAAGGCAGCTGGGTCATTTTTGAGGTACTATCAAAAATCGTATTTTTTTACCAGAAGATGGCCGCTGTGGGATTAGTTTAGATGGCGATCGGAAAGAGCTAAGTCAGGGCTACACGAAGACTGTGGTGGAATTCCCCAGCTAAGCTTCGGGATCTCGAGCAGTGTCGTTTTCCAAATGTTTGACCCTGAGGTGTGGTGGAGTAGGCAAATATTGCTCGGTGTTGGGACCAAATGGTAGTGATTACAATAGGGCTCCCTGGTTACCATAGCGTTGGAAGGAGGGAATTCCGTTTCGAGAGCGGAGAAAGGTACCCCACCACATACACAGCCTCACCGCCCTACTGGATTGATAGGATTGCGCGATCGGTTCTGCCCTTTCTGGGGGATCTAGCCGCTGGCGCTCCCAGGAGTGATTCATCTAGAGGCACCCACTCCATATCCAGTTACAGTGCTGTTCAACCAGCCCGTACAGCGGAAGCGGGAAAGAAGTTGTAGACAGTACCCACATGTGCTCCCCTTGGAGTACTGGTCAACTGATGAGAAAAATTTTGACCGAACTTCAGAACTTTTCTAAGGGAGCGAGGCCTTCTCTCATTTGTGCTTTGGGACCAGTCAAGTGTAAGGACTAGATAGCAAGTTGATTGTACGAATTGGTTTTAATCAAGGAACACAGTAGGTCCAAATCCAAGGCAGGTGGCCTCCTTGGACGAAGTTTTTCACCCGGATAGAAGTCACTAAAGCGGAAGCAATTGAGCCATTCCAAAGCCGTACTGTGGAAGCTAACATCAAGATCTAAATAAGGGAAATGCCGCTTATGGCTCCAACCACGTTGTGGCTTGGTAGAGATTCATATAGCGAAGTGTGTCGAAAATGATGAATTTCAATTACCGTTTTTCATATGAGAACAGCGACTGCGAGGGACGGTGAAGAAGCTGTGGAATGCTTACCTCACACACTTCCCATAGACCACATAACTGGATCTCGAAATGGCTGCGGAAATCTGATACGAGATTCAAAAAGTGTCCCTGAACTTTTGGGACAACCTAAACTGGACTAGGACTGGATGAAAATTCGAGATTTGAGGTATCATGCTTTTTCAGTCAAAGCAGTATGAATAAATGTCGAGAAATAATTTGCTCATCAAGCTGAAGTGTTATCCTTGATTCCGGAAATAATTTCACAGCACAGCCGATGAAGGAGCAACTTTTTTTGTAGGTTTCTGTCATCTACCGAAAGAATCAATTACCGTTCTATTTTCAGTTTAGCAGCGAACTTACATTAATCGCCAATGGGTCACTTACGTGAATAAAATTAATTCTTCCGAATTGACTTGTCATTCAACCAGGGAAAAAATGGTTCAGAACCGGTAGTAATCACCTAGGAGAAAACTTTTGAGCAGAGTTCTTTTCTAGAACTTTACAAAGGCGTTGCTATGTTTAGAAGACAGTTTTGTTTTCAGTGAATGAAAGAGCACTCAAGCCAGCGACATAAAGTCACTCCTTTGACTGGTTTGGTGAAAATGTAATCCACTTCGGAGAGGTTGAAGATCTGACCTGAGCAGAGTACGCTCTCGCATTTCGTCCCCGCCACAAAGTTCAGCATTTGCCACTGGACCAGTTTCGTCAAAGTTCTAAAGACCGTACACAGAGTTCTCCTTTCATAGTGGTAGCGAATTAGAGCCTTACATATTCTGACCCTATTTATCCTTGAAGACAATAAGAGTACGATCACACATAGTTTGGTGTGCGTGACTATCAGCCCCCAGCTGTCGAAGCGTAGCGGTTTCCCCGTCCTAACATGCGCAGGAATGGAGATACAGGACCGTGGGACACGCTAATTCCTCCATGCTCCGCCCAAAATGCAACTTGCGGCGCAGACTCCCCCGTTTATGCTAACAGCCGTCCGCGCGGCGCGTGTCGCGCGCAGCGCTCTTGGCACTTTGCCAAGTCCTGTAATTGCGCTTTGGAATACAATTAAAACGCAATTTCCTGATGCGGATAACATTTGAGGTGTTGCTCGTGCTGCAAATCATCTTCGATTCGGATTTTGCAGCATGAGCAACACCTCAAATGTTATCCGCATCAGGAGTTTGCATTTAATTGTATTCCAAAGCGCAATTACAGGACTTGGCAAAGTGCCAAGAGCGCTGCGCGCGACACGCGCCGCGCGGACGGCTGTTAGCATGAACGGGAGTCTGCGCCGCAAGTTGCATTTTAGGCGGAGCATGGAGGAATTAGCGTGTCCCGCAGTAGTGGATCTCCAAACGTTCGGACATTACAAACTGCTACACTTCGACGGTTGATTGTCACGCGCATCCAAATATGTGTGATCGTACCATGTGTTTTTCTGCCCTATTCCTTAACATTTAGGCCAGATTTGGAGCCATAATTTATGCCCTAGCGGTAGTCCCTTCATGATTTAACTTGGATGTCAGACTGGAGTACTAAGGTGTAAGCAGTGCTCATTGATATTCGATTCTATTATGCTAATGAAGTACTCCACTTCAGCGTGAGCAACCCGTTTCTGTGACTTCCCCCTGTGCTATACCGTTGCATCCTTTTTGTTAGTTACTTTAGTTAAAGGCGGGGGGGGGGTATGGTAATTTGATTTCTAGCCGATAGCGGAAGATGATGAGTAGAAATTGTGGGATTGAAACAAACTGGGACGAAGCGGTCGAAATCGCAGAAACTAGTGCCCGCGATTTCTTATGTGTCTATGTCGTCGCGTTATGTCCCTCTTCAGTCGAGAAGTGGACGTGCATACCCTAAGATAGCCCATCACTAGTCAGAATAGGGCAAAATCACAGCGATTGTAATGTAACCGTGAAAAACAAGTTTAAGCGACCGGAAATTGTAGGACAATGTCAAAGTCTCTAACAACAGTAAGGAGACATTACAGTAGATCACGAAACAGTGAGGGGAAGGTGGTGTGGTGATATACTCCATATCCCAGCGATGGAGTAGGCGTGGCGGCGTACTTTCCTTCAACGGGTCGAATGCGTTGTTCGCGGGATATTTTCATTAGATACAAGTATTATTCTATCTTGTAGTGGACCTAGACATTTCTGGAACTGTAACATCTCTGAGAAAGCGGAGCCGATTGCCAATAGCGAAAGAAAGCACTGGATCCCTGATCAATTCCTGTCCAATTGTTACGTATAAGTTTTCCAGGGGGCGGGGAAGTTTTCAGTATCTTGGGGGGAGGGAACCGTACTTCGCTGACTCCTACTCACTTCTGTGATCACGACTGTGTATATGCCTAGTGCTTATCTTGTCCTCGCTCTGAAGGTAGTTTGAGCTTTAACTCAGCATAGGTTAGCCTTCCAGATGATCCCTAAAGGGGCATTCCTAACATAACACGTGGTGATCTCCAGGGTGCAGTTCGTGCAGTTCCTTAGAAAAAAAAGTAACCAGTAATTGACTCGACTAGCGTCAACAAGTAGAATATGCATCCCTCGGGAACTGCTCATTTTGGTTGGCTAAAAGGCTGAGCGACGCTTTTTGGCAGAAATCAAAGCCGTCAAAGGGAGTAAAATGGTCTGAACGACTTGTTTTGGTCTGCTGGATGATTTAGAGCACATTGCATTAGACTGATAATGCCGCGCACGTGCTCTCGCCCGCAAAGATACAGTAATTCCGATGTTCTGAGCCGGCACTGGGATATGCTGGGTAAAAAGACCGAGGGTGTAAATCAACTGTAACTGAAGAGGTCAATTATTTTTGCGAAAAAAAGTCGTAACAAGACGTTTCGTGGGAAATCTGCCCATTCTATGGGCTCGCAGCTCAATCAACCGGCAGATCGCTCATTTGTCAACTTTTACGCCCTTTGCATCTCAGAAGGGACACATAACGACCCTGATCAAGAATATTATACTAATGTATTGCTAAGACCCAGTCGGCGCTACTACGTCATAAAGTACATCTCCATCCCTGAGACGGAGTAGGCGTGGAACTTGAACTAGCATAGAAGGGGCTATGGAATGTTCCGACAGCATATTCCAACTACAACTTTCATCTTGTTGTGTGGTGGCCAGACCACCACAATTGTGTCAAAATGAAAATATCTCACCAAAAGCAAGCCGCCGCCACGTTTGGATGAAGTACGCAGTTACGCCCACCGCATCTCAGAGCTTTTGAGTGTAATTTTTGGGTCATGCCGTAGAAAACACTGATTACAACTGTTCAGTAGAGGCTCTTCCAAATGGCTCCATTTCTTTCGAGACCATTTTTTTGGGAGCAGCAATTTTCGAAAAAATTAGTTTCACTAACAATGCGAAGGGCTTTGTGAAAGGCGTTGGAAGCCTTTTAGGAAAAGCAGGGGAAAACAGGTTCATCGAGGATTAGAACCCTCAAACCTACAGCATGAGACCGATAGCCTACCCTTTTGGCTATCAAAGGAAACGTTTGGTCGACTCAACAACCCTTCATATATACTTTAGTTCAGGTATTGGCAGATTTGGCAGACCGTCTCATAACTGTCGTGAAAAGGCGCGCCAGTCGATTTAGCCCTTTTCAAATGGCTAATTTGGCCAATCGTACTTCCGCGATAAGTCAGCCAGCACCACAGCCCTCGTTGGACCCATTTACTCACGAATTCGCTGTGCGTTTCTCCAACCAGCGGAATCATAACCCTCATAGGGTTATTAGGTGACATCTAGTTAGTCGTGATGCTCGAAGCGATTTGCGGTGGACTTGTTGAACGTTGCTCCAAGCTAATACTATCCGGAAATGTCTCTGACAGCCATCGGAAGCAGAACTAAGTGGTATCGAAAAGACGACCACAGAAGAGGCACAAGTCCAGAACTAATCAATTCTTTTCCATTTTATAGCGATATGAGGATTACTGCATTCATGATAGTATTAACGGAGTTTAGTAGAGCGTATTGGAAGATAAGGAGGAGTGGCTTGTCGACAAAAAGTAGCTCAAGAGGTTTTTTTTCATTATTTTTTGGTCATTCCTTTGACCTTCGCCTTGACTGAGATATACTAGATTAAATAGTGGGTATTAATAGACATATAAAAGTCCTTTTTAGGATATTTTCAGGATACCTAGGTATAAGATTTTAGAGAGAAATCATCAAAGTGAGTTTAACACTCAGAATTGCCAGTTGCCGAATTTCGTTCTTTTATGAGCAGAGGTTGATTTAGAAGCCCTCGTACGGCAAGCAAGAGATTTCCTCTCCAGCATTCGAACTGAACAAACGTTTGAGAACCCTCTTCAAATATAGGACGGCTAGAGGGGGTCATGTAGCGGAAAATGTTGTCATTTTCACGGGGCTCAGTCAAGGGATCGAACCTCGGTCCGATTCTCGTCCAGGCCAAACAGGACTCGCAGCTAACGGATTGTTACCTACTACCCGACACCGTAAACGTTGTGGCAGGACAAAAAACACTGCCAATTACCTTTACAACATTGCAAGTACTTACCCTTTTTCTTTGCGGTACTGCAGTTGCCCCCCCCCCCTTAGGTCATTTGGAGACGCACCGCATTCAAGGAACCACTGCGATTTCGATTGGACATTTCTAACCCAATACCTACAGAAGCAAAAAACATCTGCTCAAATAGCGGAAATCAAAGCCTGGTGCAAGATTGAGGGGTAGGGAGAGGAGTAAGAGCACAAAAAGTAAAAAAAGAGGAAACAAGGAGAAAGAAGGGGAAAATGTTGTAGAAGAGGAAAGACAGACAAGTTCGACTTTTCATCGTGTGAGGTTTTGATCTCTGGCTTGTGGCTATCATCTACCCCACTTCCCTAGAAGCCGTCAACCTCTGCCTGGAACCGCTAAGGGGGAGGGGGGGGGGTTGCAGAAAGGCCACACCGGTCTCTGGTTTTCCAGGGGGCGCCATGGTCAGAATCTGAGCCGAATAAGTTTATGGCAATACCTTGATTGAAAGTGCATAAAGAAAAAGTGATTACGCACAATTAAGAAAAATTACCAGTAGCACTTCATAGAGATGTGGGTAAGTCTATCGAAAGGTGACAATGAAAGAAATAGAACCAACTGTTAGAAATTAACAAAATAAAAAGGACAATTCGGGAAAACTGCGGAAAAGCTGCCAAGCGGCGCAAAAACGTAAAGGAAACGAAAATCAACGAACAGTTGAGTGGAATAATGACCACTTAACGCACTATGGGGGGCCAAAAAAACGTTGAATGTGTTCGCACCGAAACTTCTGACGTCAACAAGTTCTAGAACGTTTACTCAATAGATTATGTCTCAACTGAAGAAATAGCACCTACTGCAGAACTACCAGATAACCAATTAACTTGCAAAACTAATATACAACTGATCTCACTCACTTGTCTGAATCCGTCTTGACAAGTTTTTTGCCAGTTCTCCGGACCATTACCCTCCTGGTAACCCCAATGTGATTCTCCACCCTCGATGCCTGGAATAAGTTGTTATTTCCACAGGAGCATGAGAGAAATAGTGTATTAGGCAGTTCAAATGAATTTTCTAACTTCATAAACGTCTTTCAAGTACGTGACTAACCTCGAACCAAAAACGGCAACATGATGATGAACATGGACATTTCCTGTAGAATTTTGAAAGGATTTAATGCGAATTTTATTAATTGTATGCATCATGGCTTATAGAAAAGATATTCGCCGGTTCTTTAAAGCTATAAGGCGAGGAAAAACTTAACTGCTGCCAGAAATATAGAACTGATATGATGCTGATAGGGACTAAATAGTCAGAGACTCACACAATGACAAAAACTGTACACAAACATCTAACTGATCAACAGTAACTAATAAATAACTTAGGCGACAGTAATTTTTATGAGGGGTATTTCTGAAGGATCCTTTGTGAAAAACTAATTACCCTGATGAAAATAGCGATTCTACTCGAACCTGAAGACGAAGGTGCTCCGGGATGGATGAATCACATTCAAGAACCAGTAATTTTTGAAGTGCAGTAATTCTGTACCTGATCGCGTTCGCGCTCAGAAGTTGTCACAACAATGCACGGGTAAAAGTCTTAACCGGAGACGGGACTCCAACCCAAAGTTCCTGCTTTCCGGGTGAGCGTGCTATCCGTCACGCCCAGGCACACCATTGGTTGGGGATTTTGATCGAGTCCGAACGACCCCTCCCTTTTTTAGCGGGTTGGTACGACCCCCCCCCCGGTTCCCACCTCATTATGCTGTTGAGCGGGGTGGGGGTATAGAGCACGTGTGAAACGAAAAAAAACCACGAGGAACATATGACCCTTCTAGTTACCAATTCTTAGATATTCCCCAGCTTCCTACCGATTTTCCGTAGTTTTGCGATAATTTTTCTACTGTTACCCTGAAATTTTGCTATCGAGCGGGGGTATGAGTACACATGAAACAGGAAAAACAGAGGAAAATCAGCAACCTCTCCCAGAAGGTTAGAAGGGGAATACGACCTCCCCCTCCTCCCAACAACGAGCAAATACGATCCCCCCCCCTTTACAACGCCCCTGAAACAAGAAAAATCAACTACCAGAGAATTCAGTCCAAATACGCCCTCCTCTTCAGCGTATAAATACAACCCCCTTGTTGGGGAACCCCCAATAACGTTGTGCCCTGGTTGTTCCGCTATGACCGTGATCTACGGTACTAAATAGGTTACAGTGTGCTGCAGAACTTCCTTACGACATTTTTTCGAAAAGTACGCCGTACTTGAAATTTTTGTTCGGTCCCATAAAGTTAATTTCACTTTTTCATGAGGAGCTCTAAATGCCCGCCCAGAACTATGAGCGCCAGTATTTCCACGAAAATAATGCACCATCCATTTTGGAGCAGGTGGGAAAAGACGCTGATGTGATAAATTATATATGTAGCGACCTATAAAAACATCTCCATCGAATATTGAAAAGCGTAAATAAAGATAAAGTTGAAAATTGAAAATCAGAGGACATCAGGGCTGTGCTAGTGCCCACTCGAAGGATACGGGCGCTTCCTGAGCTGTGAACACGCTTATTCTTTGTTCCAGAGTGATCGAGTAGAATTTGCCAGAGGTCGCCGCCGGTTGCTTCACGTAGGGCACACCATCCCAACTTACTGGAGAGGCTCTCCAAATAAGGAACCACCAATTCATCGGGTAGGAGGGGAGGGGGTGAGGACGGAGAAAAAATCTCTTACTGAGTGGAAAGAATTGTAAAACTACCGTTTTAGAGAGCAGAGGAAATACAGCATGGTCAATGTTCCAACGAAAAAAAAACAAAAGTTTTAAAAAAATTTGCTGATGGTTGGGGGACTTTGAGCTTCCATTATTTAAAACATCGGATTCATCCTTGCGCTAATTCCGGGGGTCGTATATTTGTCGTTGGGTTTAAGGGGGGAGGGGTTGGTAAGTCGTACTTAATTTCGGGTGATTTCTGTTTGTTCCGTTATGTCCCTTCCGCCCGCCCTCTTTCGCTCGACAGTCTCGACAGTGAAAACCTGGCTAAAAGGTCGCGTTAGGGTTGCTCGTGAAAAGGAAGCATTTGGGGGGGGGGGGGAGGGGGAAGATGCAGCCGTACTGACATCTCATTTCCATTCCACACATTCCGATACCGTACGCTCTTTGCAAGTAAGTGATAAATAAAGATTAGAAAGTTGGTACTTCTCCCAGATGAAAGGGCACATGTTCCCGACGACTCAAATAAAAAACCACTACCTTCCCTTTCCGCAATATCCGTGGAGCGCAGGGAGGGGTACCTATATATGGCATAGTCAAACTAGTAAGCTACTGGCTCAGATGGTACACAGCATGCCTTAAACGGCCGAGGCCAACAATTGAATAAGTTTCTATCTGACCCAACGCGACCGCCCCTAAACACTAAAATATGGACCAGGGGAGCCTGCAATGATGACATGCTCATCCCTTATCCCATGTGGTTTCACAGTATACTTGCCGGTTCTTGACTCAAATATAGGTATTCACATCGTAGAGCAGCTCCACCAACGCAGTTCGGGGAGGGGGGGGAGGCATTTTGTACCACCACTGCTTCCCTGGTACCTGTTAGCAAGCCTCACTCTGGCGAAACCTGTGAATCTTGTGAGGTTGGAGCAAGCCATCACGGTAAAACCTGTCAACTCGAGAAGAGGCTGTCTAGATAGGTCAACATGTCAATGGGAAGTAGCAAATGCAAATGCAGTGCAAAATGCCCCCCCCCCGTCGCCGAACTGCGCCGGCTCCATCTTATCCTACTTACCATGAGAAAGGTTCGGGAGGTTAATCGCCGTACACGCAAATTTACGGATTTTCACATTTGGGTTGAAACTGCAGTCACTCTAAGACGTCAAAGGGATGAATCAAGCTCACCTTGTCAAATAAGTAATCTTTTCCATTATTATTGTTACTACTGAAGTAAACATACGACTATTAATGTAAAAACATATACACTTAAGTAACTTGGAGATAAAAGGTTTCTCTGAAATGTTTTCTTGATGAAAGCATGAGATAATGGCAGTCCAGGAGCTGAGCAGCTGATTGTTTTCCAAACTGCGCCAAACTGAAAGTAAGACAAGTTCTGGAGAGTTTCCTCGCGTATTTCAATTCAGAAAAAAATTTTGAGACTTCTCCTCCCAACCATAAGAGTTCACCTATTCCCGAAAGTGTTCCATCAGACGAGCGGACAAATGAGTCAACCTTTTTTTGAATCGCTTTGGGATTTGAACTCCCCTCTCAGAAATGGCTGTACTCATTGTTATTGGGCCCTAAAGACATGGGTCACAAATGGTTGTTCAATAATCTCAAAAGCATCTCATCAGATATGGAGGCGCTTCGGAAGAAGACAAGGGGGCAGACGAGTGATCTTTGAATAAGCGCGGTGCTCTTCAGCGAAACAATGCAGAGGAGCAAGATATGGAACTAATAAACTACCACCTGCGCCCGTTATCTCTTCGCGCTCCTCCTTATGATATATTGCAGAATAGAACGACTTCTAGTCAATGATTCCCAGAAGGAAAATCCAGGAAAAAATAAGAAGAGTATTAAGCAGCGGAATAATCACAAACAAAAAATTCATTGGCCTTTAAGAAGTTGCTTATTCAGAAATGGCCTCTCAATCGGCTGAATGCGGCCCCTCCGCTTGTTCATTGTACGACGTCTCCTTATTAGAGACAGACTTTATACTCCTGAGAAAAATTTTCGAGATATGAAAGATGGGCCCATCTCTCAATAATATTGCAATGCCTGTTTTATGGACTCTAATTTTCGAATACCCTATTTTCTAGAGTATAAGGCATTTATTGGGAGAGCCGCACAACGCACGCGACTGACGGAAAGTTCCTGTAGACAGCAGCTGCTCTCTCATCCTTTGCATATTCTGATTTTTTGATTGGTTTCAAAACCCCCCATTGAATATAGATCACTCATAAAGATAAGAACGGGCCAAAAACCCGAAAAAAAATACAAGGAGAAAGACCTATCCGCGATTTCTAAAGAGGTGCGCCCTATACATCCGCCCCTCATCCATGAGACGGAGTGGGCGTGACATAAGTACATGGCACAGAGTGAGTTACTCAAGTGACAACTGTCATCTTGCTCAGCGGTAGACAGAGACACGACCACAACTGGGTCGTAAAGAAATCTCACCGAAAGCACAGCCACCGCCACGTTTAGGTGAAGTACGCAGCCACACCTACCCCATCTCAGGGATCTTCAGTGTAGGCCTGCCGATACTCCAGAAAGTAGGGTAGAGCTAAAGTGAAAGTTTGCTCGATCAATACACTGTGTCTACTAGTAGAGCAGTTAACTGTCAAATAATGATGAAACAAAAGGTCCAATTTGCTGGTGAAAATAGCTGTGGGGCCAAGAGATGTCCCATTACTTCATTCCACAAATGCGATTCTGCTAAAGCTATCCATTTTAAAAAATAAAACAAAATATGGTCCGTTATGCCCTTTTTTCAGACGAACCTGGTCGTTTCGTTAACGTCCAGGGCTTATTCTAGCTATTCCTTCCATGAGTACCTGAACGCCTTGAAATCTGACCGAAAGGAGGAGTTCTGTTATCTCAGCGAGACACATTCAGACCACTATAGAACAAGTTTGGAAGCATTCAAACTCTCGCGCGATTTCTAGCAGGGTTTAAATGCGTGGCGCATAGCAAAGAAATAAGAGCAGCCAGATTGTAGCGAGAAGTCTGGTGAAAGAGCATGCAAATAGTCGCTTGACTGCCACTGTTCGCATTGCATAAGATTTGCTCTCGAGAGACGACTAAAAAAAAACTCGCGCTCTCGCAGTCTCAGAGTCGGACAAGCAGTAGCGCTTTAAAGATATCAACCAATGTGTTAGAACTGTCACTCAAGTGCTTGTACTCAGTGCAGGACTTTTTATCCTTTCACACTTTTAGACGATGCACTTCAAGTCGGAGCTCGCCCTACGAAGCTGGAGTTTCAGAGGCTTTTGAAGACTTATTACCCAGATTCATGCTGGGGAACTTTCACAAAGCCTCAAATAACTTCACACTCAGTTTGAGGTACATGACATTTGTCAAGCCGTTCTGCATCGGCAATTCCTGTGTTATTACTCTCAATTGTTTATTATAACATTATAGAACTTTTTACTCTTTTGTTAATGCGCATCTTGGTTGATCGTTTTTTGTCAGTGAGCATCTTGAATGCCACCTTAAATAACCAAATGAAAATAAATAAATTTTTTGTTGAAGTAAAGTTAACTGAAGTCTCATAGTTATGATTAGTGCAGAAGGAGCGAATCGCAGAGGCTAAAAGTGCCAAATTGCCAATTAGGACTACATTTCTCACTATCTCCATAAAAACATCCTCATATTTCTTTTTAGTACGAGCAACTACAGTGTAAAAGTCTCTTAAGCGAGTTGTAATATTAAAACACAGAATTTAATTAAGGTTACAATATTAGAATCACAAAAAGTTTCACGGTATGCAAAATGGCATATCTTTTAAAAAGTATTTAAGGTCATCAATCAAAAGTGGGAAAGAAATCATTTTGACACTTTCGCGGGAGTGGTGTTCGAACGAAAGGAGCAGAAAAATAATTGAAGTGAAGGTCCGTTTTTCTTTTACCCCACTACTTTAGCCTCCAGAATGAGTTGAATAAGATTGATATGTATCCACTAAAAGTAAAAAGAACAAATAAAGTGAAGTAAAAGTCCACTTCCACCATCCCCCCCTATCCAAACGCAAGCCATGGTCATTGAGCCTTCCTAAGAGGCTATCTAAAATGGAAAAGGAACTTTGCAAAGCGAACGATTTACGTGAGAGCCAAAATAATCGCGCAAGTTCTCTTTTGCCCTTACTACAATTGATTTACAACATTGTTGATTTCATTACTCGTTGAAACTGATTCCAGTTCCTTTAAAATTCTTTCTTGAATGGCGAAGATTTCTAAGGGCATTAGAAGCGGGAATTTTCCCATGACCATTTTATCAGTAGGTAGTCAATAAATAACCATGCGATCTTACGAATAAGACACTCTAAAGTGACAAACTACATTAGCATAAAAAGTAAAGGAGCAGAAAATGAGCTGAATAAATCAAATAGTGCACGAAGAAGAAAAAAATTGATAGGTTGTGGGCGCAAGCACTATCGAAGTTGATTTTCGAATTTTCGCCAGCTCCTTTTGAAAGAACATCCTGAAAATTCGACAACGACGGGTTTACAACTACATATAAAGGGAGATTACATTTTATGATCCATGAAAAACACAAAGGAATTGAATTTCTTGAATTGAATTATGCGTTTTGATAACCCTTTCAAAAATGTATTACTTCAATTAGTATCCATAAAAGAAGTGATCAATGTAGAGCTGAATTGTTTAGATGACTATAGAGAAACCTCACCGAAAAGAGACACATCAAGACCTGCGAAAAGCTTGAAGGTCATCCAACCTTTGCCAATTTTCATTTAGGACACGCCACGCATTCTGCCTCCACTCGGATTCGTTGTGGCATTTTTAATGCGGATACTGGGGAGCATCTGACCAAGTTTTCCCTAATTGGAGCTCTGACTCTGGATCCCTGGCGTCTCTTAGAAATAGGGCACTCTACCAGGGAATTCAAAGGCCAGATCACTCATTCAACTCTTCCACTACTGGTAGCTAGTTTTGTCAGCTCCAACAAGCTCAGCTATGAGCTTCATGACTACAAAAATCGTAAGGGGTCTGACAGCATACACTGCCATGCAGTCCTACGCAGAAGCAGCTTCGTGTGAAATGGAGGTGTCAGCGCGAACTCCCCCCCCCCTCCCCATCCCCTCTTCCAGCACGACTCTCCTACTCCCGACCCCGTCTTACCAAAAGTTAACAACAGATTTTATCGCGGCTCGACGAAACTCTTTTCAAGGCCAGGGAAAATCTCTTCGACAAAATGCGACTCCCTACCGAGAAGCCAGTGGCATTCCTGACGGGTTTCCCCCAATCATGCTGTACCCTGTGCAGAAGGAGTTCATGGATGGGCAGATTCAATTTTAGTGACAGGTAGGAAAGTATTCGATTTGCAGATGGCCACTGAAAAATCCGAAAGGACGACTCATTCGCTACTGCAGAAAGCAACGTTTACTTAGTGAACACAGGCTAGGGTTCTAGATCTGAGAAAAATTCCAGAACGGCTTTATTGACCCACAGGCAAACTTTACTTAATTAAGTATATTCAGTAGAATAAGAACAGTATAAATTTGAGCGAGTTCAGTGACATCAGTGGCCATTGAAGAGGGAAACACAGATGCGTTTAGCCTAAAGGGTCCGCCCACCTTCTAGCAGAGTAAGTAATCTTCAAACACCAGAAGGCGGGGCATAGTCGCACCAGTGACGATACTGGAGAAACTAAGGAAAACTTCTTTTACAGGTTTTTCCAAGTTTTGCTGTTCCCAAGTTTTTCACAAACTATTCACTGGTGTAATGATCGATGGGAAGGGAAAGGTTCAGGTTCAAAGTTCAGAATCTGACACTGCATGTATTAAAAATTCAAACTGATCGGTAACGTTACCCCTTTTGGGTTGTGCCATGCATTCGACTTACGTCAAGAATCACACAGCTGTTTGAACCCAACTCACTGTCACCCACTTTGTGGCCCAACTTCAGCCCACTTCCAACTCAGAGTTTTTCTCCCTTGTACAGATCTGTGGCAAACGTTGCGGCTCAACTGACCCGTTTGGAACCTGGCAGACTCAACCGATCCGTTCGAAACCACGGAACGGGTCGCATACCCTCGTAAAAGTGACAGAACTCTCCCAAGTCATTAAATTGTACAGCGAAAATTTCCGTCGTAGAGTTTAAATGGGTTGTTTCTTCTGAACTGGCACCAATAAAAACTGGAGAGCTTCACAGTGGAGATTAGCCGGGAGTTTGCCAAGCAAGTAACTTCTTCCCTAAAATCTTTCAACTTTGCAGAATCAATAGTTGACGATCAATCAACTGCAAGTATAAGAAAAGTGCTCGCATTCTCTGAAATCTCGTTAAAATGCAATCGTTCCTTCGTCTTCGTTTTATGACATCACTCTGAGACAGATGAACATGATTACTAAAGTCAACTTGCTATCAGTGTTTTTTCTTACAAGTAAAGAACCGAAGGCATTGCGCAAGTACAGCACTCCAGCTACCACATAACTCAGGAAAAGTAAAGTAGCATCAACGGTGACTTCTTTCTGCAGTCGTGAAGACCCCATCCTTTTGGTAAGCTAGGAAGGACAAGAAAAGTGATACGGTGGTGAAGGGCCCCATACATGTGCCATCAGCACTCGTTTTGGTCCATCTTAGAGCTCCATGTATCGGACATAAGCTTACTGAAGGAGATGTGATTCAGTAATGAAGCCGACCGTATTACAATAGAGTTAAATTAGGTAAAGCATTTGCGACAAGAAGGAAGGAACAGTAAAATTTGAAGAAAATGTCTCGCCCAAGGCATATCGCCACAAGGACCGAGCGGGTGGCTCTCAATGTGCCATAAAAATGAGTCGGAACTCGTTTCGCTTAACACCAACCAGATCTTAGTGTGTTGGGAGACGAAAAGCTCCGCTATCAATAAACTTTAACAATTTACTATAAATGAATGATAAGTATTGGCTATAAGTATGGTTATAAGATGAAGGCAAACCTAGATTAAGGTGCTGTTTACACTGTTTAAGCTTTAATACCAAGGCAGAAAAACCACACGAGAAGATTGATGGTGGGAAGATCTTCTCAGGAACATCGCTTTTGAGAATATGAATTCCTCGCTATTTCACAAAAAAATTGCTTTTGTTTTGAGAATTTTTGTGTTTGATGGCCGTTGTGTGTTCACGTGTAGAATACGTAGAACCGAACTGAATTTGAGCAGGATTTTTAGAAGAACAATTGAAGAACCCTCCTTATTCAACAAACGTTTTGACATTCTCTTAGTTACAGGAACGGATTGAACGAATGGCTCTTGAACCGCTGTGCTACACGCTTCGCTTTTGCGAAATTTTTCGGTTTAATGGCCACTCTGGAACCCATATCTGCCGCAGATTTCATGTCATCTAGATACCATGGCTAACTGCTTACACTGCACACCCCAGCAATGGAGTTGGCGTGGCTGGGTGCTTTACTTGAAAATTGCTCAGGATGCGTTATTCAGTCATGACTGCAACTCCTCTGAAATTGCAATATCCTTATAGAAGCAAATCTTCCGGCACATTCATATGAAGTACGCAGCCACGGACTCTCCACCACTGGGATATGAAGTGTACGAAGCGCTTCCGGGACAAAGCTCATCGAATCTCGCTCAGGCAAACCAGGCCTTCTCCCCTTCAGGAGCGTCGTAATGGCAATAGGTCCGTTTGAGAAGCTAAGAACAGTAACGTGTACACCGGCTGGTCCCTGCACGTGTTTCTAAAGGCTATATCTATTCGACAATTCTGAATGGAGGTTTTCGTAAATCTATAGTACTGGGTCAGTCATATAGCAAGTGGAAAGAGGATTAGCAGACATAAATAGCAGATATATGATATCCACTGGTAAGGTCTGATAACGGGCGGTTAGATTGCAACCCTTCAGGATCGTAATACACATAGCAATGCTGTATTGGGATTACGATTCCAACAGGTAAAATATTGGTGGGGCTAGGACGTTGGTAGAGGTTGTGAGAAGTGATAACAACTGATATTGGGTGATAACGTTTGCTGGAACGCAACTGTCACTACGCACTAGAGCTAGTCGAAGGCTCACTGTAAGGTCTCTGATCAATGATAATTGGTGCGGTAATATTAATGGTGTGCTATAGAAGGTCATAGATTGGGGTTCATAAAAGACGTTTAACAAGCTCCTTCCAATTTGAGTTACTTTTTATCTTGATCAGACTTATTTGTGACCAACCCATTTCACTGTACAACCTCACTATGGCTCACTGTAAGTGCAACAAACAAATAAACAGGTAAAACTTCTGCGCCAATGAGCACGAGCTGCACCCCATTGCCTTTGAGATCTTGAACTTGCCCTCTTCTTACAAAATGTTAATCTCTAAACGTCCACGGTTGCACGGTTTTTCCCTCAGACTTTCTATCGTGCACAGTTTATTTATTTATTTACTTATTTGTCTATTTGTTTTTATTCACTTATTCCTTTATTTATTCAACTATACATTTGTTTATTTACTTATTTATTTATTAATTGTTCACAATCAACATGAAGACAATCATGTCAAACCTCTTCAACTGCTACTGTCGCGCAAGGAATAAGCCACCAAAGCAGTACGAATAGCAACTAAGCTGAAGGGCTTAGGAGAGTCAAAATATTTAGATTGCAGCACATTCGACATTTCTCTTGATAGACGCTTTACTGGTGCTCCTAGCAAAAAACATACATCGCCTCTATCTGATTGTTCTTCAGTCCTCTAGTCTGATCCTCCTTGTCTCTGAATGTCTGAATGTCTAATCTGCTAAACAGGACAAATATTCGCTTGTGTTGGTATGTTTCACATTCTAGATGAAGCAGCTTTAGGCACAGAGCACTATAATTTGGAGCTTACTCAGACATAGCAGCAGCGGGGCTGGCAATAGCGGGAAAATTATTGAAAAGCGAAGTAAACGGTCGAAAGCCGAAAAAAACCTCTGTCTTGCACAGCATTGAACGAGCATTTCCAGACAAGGCCCCTTTGGCATCGTGCCAGCAAAGGTGTTAGTATTTACGGCTGCAGATATGTATCCATATATTCATGCAGCAACGCTTCATATCAACTGTACTTCATAAATGAAGCGATAAGAGTACCAGCGTTGATGTTGCTGAAAGGCCATTTGTGGGCGGGCGGTTGCGATGGGCGTCTGGGTCGGCATGTTGCACCTTTGGTTAGGCGCTTTAACGGTGCTCTGGATTGGAGAAGGCTCCACGCAGACCTGCTAAGGACGCAATATTCTTTCGTGGTGAGCGTATCGACCCGGTATGCCTTTTCGATTTGATGAGCCACTTGCCTTTTAGGGATAATGATGGCTGGAAAACTTGAAGATGGACATGATTTTCAGCTGATGCTTGGAATAGGAATCGTAGAAAGGCCTCGTTGGCATCCCATGTCGTCGCTGGTATCCGATGTCGGTGGTATCCGACAACGGTTGGACAAGAACCGCAGAAGAAGAAAAAAAAGACCATAAAAAGACTAGAGAACGACAGTTTCAAATAGCCACGGGAAGAATTGCTGAAGATGAGCAATAATTTCTTGTAATTCCTGGTGTAATTACAACTTTCTATTAGCTTAGTAGTTTTCGATTCCGGTTCCTTACTACGAATTCTGGATCAGTAGAAGCAGAATTCATCCGGAAAATCCTCTACAAGTGGTCGTACTTGTGGGGTTATAAGGAGGAAGAATAAGACAGCTAAGTTTCCGAATCAATTGACAGAAGAGGATCGTTATGATCTGTAATCGGGGCCATCGTCGTTGGGGATTTCCCCCACATAGGGAGGGGGTCCTATTATGCTCGCTGGAGAGAGGGGGGGGGTCGTATGTGGTCTGAGAAACTATTTTTTTGGTAGTTGCTTTTCTCGTGTCCGGACGTCTATTAAGGGGAGAGGTCCTATTTGCCTCCCGCCGCCGGTTGGGAGAAAAAATTTTATCTGGTTGCGCAATTTTCGCTGTCTTTCCTGTTTCTCATGGTGCTACATACATACGTCCCTCCCTCCCCCACCCTCGACAGCAGAATTCTGGGGAAGTCTCGAATAAATTGGTAGGAAGTTCGAGAAAATCTAAGAAAATTTCAGGTAAGACGAGAAGGGGGTCGTCATATTTATTTTCCGATTTTCTTTTTCGGTGCCCCCCCCCCCCCCGCTCAGCAGCTCGATCGGAGGAGGAACTAGGGGAGGTCGTACAGACGCGACCAGAATCCCCAACTAGTGCATACCGCCTGGAATGATTTGCGGTGATAGTACCAAATTAGCGCCCTTTGGACCGACATAGACTGAATAACCTTTAGTGTATTAATTCCAGCGAAATGTTTCAGAGATTCTGGGGCAGTAGGAGTTGGAAAGTGCCATTATTCCATTTTAGAAGCTATACTTGGGAGAAAGTATTAGTACGGCGCTTTTTTGACACGTATTTTTTTTTTGTTGCTGGTGTTACGACACTCCTTGACGTTCGCTGGAACAGTGTGCCCTTTTCAATTGCTGATTTGGGCACCATCTGCCCTTTAACCCTCCGCTATTCAAAAGTGCGGTTTGAAGTGCCTCTAATTTTGCTCGTGTGGGTAATTTAACCTTATGAACACAAACATTGGACATGTTCAGCGCTAAAACACTTCGCGAACCGTTAAGGGGCTGACGGTCAAAAATAATTTAGGAAACCACGTTCGCGGAGAATTTCTCCTCATGGATGACTGCATATTCCGCTAAAAGTTAGTAGAGACCAGGGATAAAACAGGAGTGTGTGACCCGTGTGCTGTACGAAAACGCCCCTAAGAAGACATTATTGTTCCAAGGGACAAGCAAGAAATTGCTTACGATATGTCTCCACTGCTAGGGTAGCTACTACACGCCAGCGATCACGGCCATTGGAGGCAGCTAACTGCAGTATTTCACATCGCTGAGGAAGGTGCCAAAAAGCCCGGCAGCGTCAGCAACTAGGAAAGTACAGATATCGATCTAGCGTCTGCCAGCGTCTACCAGCGTTCACCAGCGACCGGGAGTAGAGAGTATGGGAAGTGGAGGGTAGCAAACAGCTGGATTAGGCGTCGTGAAATTGCAGCGGCTGCAACCGATTCGTACAA